TCAGCTTCCCTTGAAACCTCAATGCAGCCCCTGTGGAAAAGCCCAGATCCGAATGCAGCTGCCGCCAAAGTTGGCTTGTCTGCAAAGAAAAGCAAAAGATGTGGGGGGGGTTTTGCTGTTTTTCTATTGTTTAAACCAAGACAACTTTACCCTTCTGATTTTCTTTCTTTCTGTCTGTCTTTCTTTTTTTCTTTCTGGGGTAGATGGGAGAAATTCTTTTTTTTCTTTCTTTCTGGGGTAGATGGGAGAAATTCTTTTTTTCTTTCTTTCTGGGGTGGATGGAGAAATTCTTTTTTTCTTTCTTTCTGGGGTAGATGGGAGAAATTCTTTTTTTCTGGGTATATGGGAGAAATTCTGTCTGTCTTTCTAGGGTAGATGAGAAATTCTCTTCCTTTATTTCTCTCTTTTTTCTGGGGCTAGATGGGAGAAATTATTTCTATCTTTCTGGGGTAGATGAGAAATTATTTTTCTTTTTCTGGGGTAGATGAGAAGTTTTCTTTCTTTCTTTCTTTCTTTCTTTCTTTCTTTCTCTTTCTCGCTCTCTCTTTCTCCCCGTCTCCCTCTCTTCTTTCTTTCTTTCTTTTTTCTTTCTCTCTCTCACCTTCTTTTCTTTCTTTCTTTCTTTTTCTTTCCTTTCTCTCCCTCCTCTCTCCCTCTTTTCTTTTTTTCCTTCCTTTCTTTTTCTTTCTTTCTCTCTCTGTCTTTCCCTCTCCCTTGTCTTTCTCTCTCTCTCTCTCTCTCTCTCTCTCTCTCTCTCTCTCTCTCTCTCTTTCTTTCTTTCTTGAAATTCAGCAAGTTCTGTCCAGAAGCTTTTTAAAAAAAAACAAAAACAAAGAATTTATTTTAAAAAAAATGAGATTCAAAGTGAGAAGACGACCACGCGGGCAATAAATTCAACACTACTCTTTCGAGTGGCAGAGTTTTTATGAATTATAAATCCATCGTGCCCCCTCCTTTTATGGATGGTTGGATCAGAAATATGGATGGGCTTCATCAAACTCTACAATAACCCCACTTCATATCTTTCCCAGCCAGTTTTGTTTTAATGGCCTGGTCTTTGGCAAGCAATCAATGCTCGTTTCTGTTCAGGGTTTTCTACTTTTTTTTCTTTTTTTTTTTTAAACCACAGGTTCAGCTGCTGTTTCACTGTAGAGTTTCTCTCTCAGATTTTGTATTTCTGGGAAGGTAGGTGAGAAACTCCATTTTTTTTTTTTTTTTTTTTTTTTTTTTTTTTTTTTTGTGAATAAGTTCTCGAAGCCTGAATTCTTTTTACAAGCCTTTAGTTTGGCCTGACATTTTGTCCCTCTGTCTAATATGTTGGCGAGCAGAGTCTGGAGAGGCTAAAAAACCAGGGTTTCTCAAACTGGAGGTTTTCAAGAAGAGACAGGACAGCCACTTGTCAGAAATGGTATAGGGTTTCTTTCTCGAGCAGGGGGCTGGACTAGAAGACCTCCAAGGTCCCTTCCAACTCTTGTTATTCCATTAAATCAAGGCGTCTTCTCCAGGTGAAGAAGTTGGCCCATCACACTGATTTTAGAGATAAAGATATCTTCCTTTTAAAATGTGGGCAGCTTCAGCTGCTGGTTGAAATGCAGTGCTCTGTAATTTACTATAGCAAATTGGGTTTAGAGCAGGGGTCTTCAAACTTGGACCTTTTATGACCTGTGGACTTCAACTCCCAGAATTCCTCAGCCAGGCACGCTGGCTGAGGAATTCTGGGAATTGAAGTCCCCAAGTCATGAAGGGGCCATAGTTCCCCTATGCTGGCTGAGGAATTCTGGGAGTTGAAGTCCACAAGTCATAAAGGGGCCATAGTTTCCCCCATGCTGGCTGAGGAATTCTGGGAGTTGAAGTCCACAAGTCATGAAGGGGCCATAGTTCCCCCATGGTGGCTGAGGAATTCTGGGAGTTGAAGTCCACATGTCATGAAGGGGCCATAGTTTCCCCCATGCTGGCTCAGGAATTCTGGGAGTTGAAGTCCAGAAGTCCTAAAAGAGCCAAGTTTGAAGACCCCTGGTTTAGAGACACAACTATAGGATGCAGCGAACAGGGAATTCCTGCAAATCGCCAGTTCATTATTATCACAATAGGCAACACAGAGGCTTTTGTTGGCTTTTTAAAGCAGCCGCTCCTTCGCCAATTTAGTACCTGTAGTCCTTGACTTACGGCCATTCGTTTAGTGACCGTTCCAGGTTGCAACAGCACTGGGAAAAAAGTGACTTAACAATCGTTTTTCACACTGAGGACCGCTGCAGCATCCCGTGATCAGAATTCAGTTGCTTGGCAACCGACTCCCATTGATGATGCTTGCAGTTTCCCAGACCTTTTCGCAAGCCAAGTCAATGGGGAAACCAAGATTCCCTGAACTGCCGTGCAGCGATTCGCTTAACGACTGCGGCAAGGAAGGTCGTAAAACAGGGCAAAACAAAATGTCTCGCTTAACCCCAGAAACCCTGGGCTCCCTTGCGGCCGTAAATCAAGCACTACCTCTAGAGGCTTTTAAAGCAATGGCACCCCACTTTGGCTCCCTCAAGACTTGTGGACTTCAACTCCCAGAATTCCCCAGCCAGCCCTGGCTGGCTGGGGAATTCTGGGAGTTGAAGTCCACGGATCTTAAAAGGGGCCACGGTTGGACTCTCCTGCTTAACCACGCGCCCGGTGTGAAGAATGAAGACCCTGCAAAGAACAACTTCAGGTGTGAGATGTTCCTTTTTTGTTTTAGGACATATTTCACACCTGCCTGTGCAAGATAGTTTGCTGGCACAAAGAAGACAGAAGCACCAAATTATTAGCACAGGAGGTTTGACTTTCTAAATTACTTTTTTGCTGCAAGGACTCGCCCTCTGATTTTTCCCCGGCGTGCCTTTGTGGCTTCTCTGTAAAGTGTTTTGCTCCCTTTTTTTTTGTTTTGTTTTGTTTTTGGAGAGATATTCAGGAATTTGGGTTGGAATGCTTCTCTCCTTCATGACCCCTCCCCTTTGCGAGCTCCCTTCCTTTTCGTAGGCTTACCGTGCCCAAGGCGGTTGTCGCATCACGGGGGTCTTTTGCGACGGCCGAGTCGTGATGTGAGAACCCGGGCTCTCCCCAGCTGCGCACCGAGACTCCCAACGCATGTGCTTGACAAGTGGGTGGGGTGGGATATATACATATATAATTATTATTTTATTTTTTAAAAAAAAAAAACACACATTTTTCTTTGGGGTAAATGCATGGACTGGGTTGGTAAGTATTTAAGGATTTCTGTTGTTCGGCGTTTGCCGATCCGTTGTGGGTTATAAAATAGGGGCTTTGAAAGGAATAGATCTGGTCTCTGAAGTGTTAATGCTGCCAAAATTACCTTTTCGCCTGTGGCCCTGGATCTGTTCTGCGGGTTGCCCAATTGATCCTTCACCTGCCACTAAAGTCTCCACTGGATGGAAAGAAAATTCTCTTTAAATGTCTAGTCCTTCTCTCATTTTTCTTCTTCCTTCCTTCCTTCCTTCCTTCCTTCCTTCCTTCCTTCCTTCCTTTCTCTTCCCTTCTACTCTCCTCTTCTCTTCTCTTCTCTTTCTTCCTCCCTGTCCCTCCCTCCCTCCTCTCCTCTTCTCTTCCTCCCTCCCTGTCCCTCCCTTTCTTTTCTCCTCTCCTCTTCTCTTCTCTTTCTCTCCCTGTCCCTCCCTCCTCTCCTCTCCTCTTCCTCCCTGTCCCTCCCTTCCTTTTCTCCTCTCCTCTTTCTCCCTCCCTGACCCTCCCTTCCTTTTCTCCTCTCCTCTTCTCCTCTTCTCTTTCTCTCCCTGTCCCTCCCTCCTCTCCTCTTTCTTCCTCCCTGTCCCTCCCTTCCTTTTCTCCTCTCCTCTTCCTCCCTGTCCCTCCCTTCCTTTTCTCCTCTCCTCTTCTCTTCCTCCCTCCCTGTCCCTCCCTTCCTTTTCTCCTCTCCTCTTCTCCTCTTTCTCTCCCTGTCCCTCCTCTCCTCTCCTCTTTCTTCCTCCCTGTCCCTCCCTCCTCTCCTCTCCTCTTCCTCCCTGTCCCTCCCTTCCCTTTCTCCTCTCCTCTTTCTCCCTCCCTGACCCTCCCTTCCTTTTCTCCTCTCCTCTTCTCCTCTTCTCTTTCTCTCCCTGTCCCTCCCTCCTCTCCTCTTTCTTCCTCCCTGTCCCTCCCTTCCTTTTCTCCTCTCCTCTTCCTCCCTGTCCCTCCCTTCCTTTTCTCCTCTCCTCTTCTCTTCCTCCCTCCCTGTCCCTCCCTTCCTTTTCTCCTCTCCTCTTCTCCTCTTTCTCTCCCTGTCCCTCCTCTCCTCTCCTCTTTCTTCCTCCCTGTCCCTCCCTCCTCTCCTCTCCTCTTCCTCCCTGTCCCTCCCTTCCTTTTCTCCTCTCCTCTTCTCTTCCTCCCTCCCTGTCCCTCCCTTCCTTTTCTCCTCTGCTCTCCTCTCCTCTTCCTCCCTGTCCCTCTCTTCCTTTTCTCCTCTTCTCCTCTCCTCTCCTCTTCTCTTTCTCCCTCCCTGTCCCTCCCTTCCTTTTCTCCTCTCCTTTCCTCTTCTCTTCTTTCTCCCTCCCTTCCTTTTTTCCTCTCCTCTTCTCTTCTTTCTCTTCTCTTCCTCCCTCACTCTCTATCCCTCCCTCTCTTCTCCTTCCTTCTTTCATTACTTTTTCTTTTTTCTCTCTCTTTCTTTTTCTTTTCCTTCCTTTATTACTTCTTTTCTTTCTCTCTCTCTCTCTCTCCAGGTTGTTTTCGCAAAAGAATCAAAGGCCAAATGGTTCGGGTTTTTCCCCTCCTCCTTTTCCAGCCACCAAGGTCGTGGACAAACAGGGCTTTTCCTGTGTTTGACATTGTCTTGTTATTCCGAACGGCAGATAGCAAGAAACTGGGAAAAGCCTTTGTGTAGAGGGCCGGACATATATTTTTTCTTTTCTTTTCTTTTCTTTGTAAAAAGGAAAGGAATCAGGTGATTCTGGAAAGGGCCGAGGGATTCTGTCCAAGAATTCCACCCCTTCACCGGCTTCTCCTTTCCCGTGTCTGTCTTTCAGAGTCGGCAGCTGGAGTCGGAGACGGGCACCACCGAAGAGCACAGCCTGAACAAGGAGGCCAGGAAGTGGGCGACCCGCGTGGCCCGAGAGCACAAAAACATCGTCCACAGTCAGCGGGTGAGTAGGCATTGGAACCCAGAGCCGGCGCAGGCAGGGGATGCTGGGATTTGAAGCCCAATTTATACGCCAGGCACCAGGCCGAAGAAATCTGGGTGGAGAGCCCACAGGACAGGGAGGGAAGGAAGTCCACGGGTCTTCAGTCCGTGTTGTGTTGTGTTTGACTAGGAGAGATTCACAATCAAACCCTGATTAGCCCTCAGGTGGCTTCCTTCCTTCCTGATTAGCCATGAAAACTCAAGATTACTTTGGTCCTTCCTTCCTTCCTTCCTTCCTTCCTTCCTTCCTTCCTTCCTTCCTTGTATCCTTCTCCACACTCTCTTCTTTTGTTCCTTCCTTCCTGTCTTTTCTTCCCCTCTCCTCCCTCCCTCCCTCCCTCTCTATTCCTTCCTTCCCCGCACACTCTTCCCTTCCTTTCTTCTCCCCTCCTTCCCTTCATCTCTTCTCCTCCACCGCTTTCCCTCCCCTCCCCTTCCCCTCTTCTCCATACACTTCCCTTCTTCCCTCCTTCCCTTCCTCTACTCCCTTCCTTCTTTCCTTCCTCGCTTTTCCTCTCCTCCTTCCCTCCCCCTCTTTCTTTCCTCCCTCCCCTCCTCCCTCCTTCCCTCCCTTCCTTTCTCCGTCCCTCTCTATTCTTTCCTCCCTCCCTCTCTCCCTTCCCTCCCTCCCCCTCTATTCTTTCCTCCCTCCCTCCCTCCCTCTTTATTCTTTCTTCCTTCCCTTCCCCTTCTATCCTTTTCTTCCTCCCTCCTTCCATTCCTCCCTCCCTCTCTATTCTTTCCTCTCTCTCTCTCCCTTCCTCCCTCCCTCTTCTCTCTATCCTTCCCTTCCTTCTTCCCTCCTTCCCTCCCTCCCCCCTCTATTCTTTCCTCCCTCCCTCCTCTATTCTTTTCTCCCTCCCTCCTTTCCTCCCTTCCTTCCTTTCTCCCTCCCTCTCTATTCTTTCCTCCCTCCCTCCCTTCCTTCCTTTCTCCCTCCCTCTATTCTTTCTTCCTTCCCTCCCCCTCTATCCTTTTCTTCCTCCCTCCCTCCTTCCCTTCCTCCCTCCCTCTCTATTCTTTCCTCCCTCCCTCCCTCCCACCTGCCCTCCCTCCCTCCTCTCTGTATCCTTTCCTTCCTCCCTCCCTCCCTTCCTCCCTCCATCTCTATTCTTTCCTCCCTCCCTTCCTCCCTCCTTCCCTCCCTTCCTTTCTCCATCCTTCTCTATTCTTTTCTCCCTCTCTCCCTTCCTTCCTCCCTCCCTCCTTCCCTCCCTCCCTCCTCTATTCTTTCCTCTTTCCCTTCCTTCCTCCCTCCTTCCCTCCCTCCCTCTCTCCCTTCCTCCCTCCCTCTTTCCCCCCTCTATTCTTTCCTCCCTCCCTCCTTCTCTATTCTTTCCTCCCTCCCTCCCTCCCTTCCTTCCTTTCTCCCTCCCTCTCTATTCTTTCTTCCTTCCCCCCCCCCTATCATTTTCTTCCTCCCTCTCTCCCTCCCTCCCTCCTCTCTCTATCCTTTCCTCCCTCCCTCCCTTCCTACCTACCTAGACTGGGTAGAGCCAAGTTATAATCCCCTTCCAGCCATGTGGGAGGGGGACTTTCCCTGGAAGATCCTGGGGCCTGTCCCCCTCTCTCAGCCCAGCCCACCTCTCTGGGTTGCTCCTGGGGGGGAAAAGTAGCAAAGAGGCCTGCAGCTGTTTCCCGACTCCTGGAGAAAAAGGGAAAACCAGCTCAAGAAGCGAACAACCCATGTTTGAATCTCTTCCCATTCCGTCAACGTCTTGATTTCTCTTTAAGTAGGAGATATTTGACCGCTTCCTCTTTTGGTTAGACTCTGGAGGAGCTGGAGTGCCACGGCCCGGTGGCCACCGAGCAGAGCCGAGCGGAGCTGGAGCAGAAGATTGACGAAACCAGGGAGAACATCCGCAAAGCCGAGGTAGGAGGAAGGTTGATGCCCTTTTTTTTTTTTTTTTTTACAGCCGTGCCTTCTTCCCTTCGTCCCAAACACTGTTCCCTCTTGCCTTTTGCCTCCCCTGCTCTCCCACCCTTCCCGTTTTTTTGGCTTTGCATCTAATATTTTGGTAAACGAATAAAAGAATTTGGAGCCTTCGGAAAAAAAAAAGAGAGAGAGAGCACAACCACAGGAGACACCTCCCTTGGTGCCATCTCTATCCTCGGCGTTTCTGCTGGACCGTTATTGTTGTTGTTTTTTCAAAGGACATTTGCTCTTCCCTTTTTTGCTTTCCTGTCATCCCAAGGATGTTTAGCTTCCATTGTAAGGATTTATTACAGCGTTGTTCCACTTCCCCCCCCCCCTGGCAGGATTCTGGGAGTTGAAGTCCACCCATCTTGAAAGTCACTAAAAGGTTGAGAAACGGTGATTTATTGTCAGGGTTTGCTCCCCCCTTCTGGGAGGAACAGCAATCTAGAAAGCAATGAAATTGGGCTTAACTCTCCCGGGGAGTTGCAAACACAATTTCTCAGATAAAATGTGTGATCTCCAAAGGCTCCCTGGGAGAATATTTATAGGAAACTGAGATGTCACATTTGTGACACGCCAGCAGTTTCTCTCTCTCCTCCCCTCCCTCTCTCTCTTTCTCTGTTCTCTCTTTCTCCTCTCTTTCTTCTCTTTTAATCCTCTCTTTCTCTTTCCCTGTTTCACTTTCTCTGTCTGCTTTTTCTCTCATTTTTCTCTCTCTCCGTTCTCTTTCTCTCTTCTTTTTCTCTTCTCTCTCTCCTCTTTCTTCCTTCTCTCTTTCTCTTCTCTTTCTCTCCTCTCCCTTCTCTCTTTTCTTCCTCTCTTCTCTCTTTCTACTCTTCCTCTTCTCTTTCTCTTTTTTCCCTCTTCTCTTTTTTCTCTTTCTCTCTCCTCTTTCTCCCTTCTTCTCCCTCTCTCTTTCTCCTTCCTTCCTCCCTTTCTTTCTCCCTCTCTCTTTTCCTCTCTTTCTCTCTTCTCTCTTTCTTCTCTTTTAATCCTCTTTCTCTTTCACCGTTTCACTTTCTCTGTCTCTGTTTGCCTTCTCTCTTTCTTCTTTTTCTCTCCTCTTTCTCCCTTCTCTCTTTCTCTGTCTTTTTCTCTCTTTCTCTCCTCCCTTCTCTCTTCTCTCTTTCTCTTTCTTTCACTTTGTCTCCGCTCTTTCCCTCTTCTCTTTTTTCTCTCTCTTTTCTTTTTTCTCTTTCTCTCTCCTCTTTCTCCCTTCTTCTCCCTCTCTCTTTCTCCTTCCTTCCTCCCTTTCTTTCTCCCTCTCTTTCTCCTCTCTTTCTCTCTTCTCTCTTTCTTCTCTTTTAATCCTCTCTTTCACTGTTTCACTTTCTCTGTCTCTGTTTGCCTTCTCTCTTCTTTTTCTCTCCTCTTTCTCCCTTCTCTCTTTCTCTGTCTTTTTCTCTCTTTCTCTCCTCCCTTCTCTCTTCTCTCTTTCTCTTTCTTTCACTTTCTCTGTCTCCGCTCTTTCCCTCTTCTCTTTTTTCTCTCTTTTCTTTTTTCTCTTTCTCTCTCCTCTTTCTTCCCTCTCTCCCTCCCTCCCGTCCTTTCTTCCTTTCTTTCTCCCTCCTTTCTCTCTCTCTCTCTCTCTCTCTTTCTTTTTCTCTGGGTATTTTCTGGATCACATTCTCTTCTTTCATAATTGTGGCAGGGTCTCTGACCCCAGGCATTCCCAACAAAGCGTAGCTACCTAAGGCCACATTTGGCTGCCTTCTATCGCTGCCAGCTACGTTTCGCACTGCCAAATGTGTGGCTTGAGCTTTCATGGAGAGAAGGACGGATCGCAATTTCTTTGCAGGTAGATTAGCAGCCCTGTTGCCCACGCTGGCTGGGGACTTCTGGGAGTTGAAGTCCGCCCATCTTAAAAGTTGCCAGGCCTTAGAAGTCCTGGTGCAAAGTACGGGTTCTCCTCGGCAGCCCTTCGTTTAGTGACCGTTCAAAGTTACAACAGCACTGAAAAATGACCGTTTTTCACACCTAACGACCGTCGCAGTGTCCCCAGGATCACGGGATAAAAATCCAGCCGCTTGGCAACTGACTCGTATTTGTGTCAGTCGCACAGCGCCCCCGGGGATGTCACATGATCCCCTTTTGCGACTTTCTGACAAGCAAAGTCAGTGGGGGAAGCCAGGTTCACAACGGCCGTGCTACTTAATTTAACAACTGGCAAGTGATTCGCTGAAGAACGGGGGCCAGAAAAGTGGCATGCCTCGTTTAGCAAGGGAAATTTTGCGCTGCCTTGCGGTCGTTAAGCCGAGGACTTACCTGTACCCAACAGGGCCCCAATCCACCTGCACACGAGCCACCTTCTTCCGAAATGTGCTTATAATACACTAGTAAACAAAACAAAACAAAAAAGTGCCACACCTTAAAACTTCAGGATTTTGTCTGTGTGTGTGTGTGATTCTTACTTTTCCCACCTTTCGCCTCCATGCTTATTTTGGGGGGGGGGGGCTTCTCAGCCCATCGTAATAGCCAGGGAGCCTAAATCTAATCCCGTCTATATTTTTGGGAGAAAATAACGGACTCGACGGGAAGACATCATTTTATTTTTAAAACGAACGAAAAGCTTTGGCGTCCATGCAGAAAAACCCTGCGAGGGAAGTAACACGGCTTTAAATTTACGCCCTGTTTGTTCCAGCAGTTGGTCTCCTCAGCGGTGTTTTCAATCATACCAGCCCTACTGCGTTGCACATGGATAGTAGTGTGTTAATAAATACATCCACCGTTTACACCCCTTGGTGTTTGTCCTCATGTTAGGGAAATAATTTGGCTCCCACAGATGGCTCTTGCCTACTTAATCAAGGCTAATTCCTCCACAAATGACCTGCCCAGCTGACATTATTAGCACATTAAAAAAAAGAGAGAGAGAGAGAGTTGCCAGCCTCTATCAGGCAATTTGTTGGTGCTTTTTTATCTCCTACCGGTTGTGGGTTTTTAAAAGTCAGAGGACCCCGTGTCTGAAATTTGGAAAAAAGTAGTTTGCTGAATTGTGGGATTTCTTTCTGTTACCAAGAAGTGAGGTTTTGAGATGGGATGGAATGGAATATAGAATAGAATAGAATAGAATAGAATAGAATAGAATAGAATAGAATAGAATAGAATAGAATAGAATAGAATATGGAATAGAATGGAATATGGAATAGAATATGGAATAGGATAAAAAAGAATAGAATATATAGAATATAGAATAGAATATGAATGGAGTGGAATGGAATAGAATAGAAATAGGAATGAATAGAATAGAATAGAAATACAAAATAGAATAGAATGGAATGGAATGGAATAGAATAGGAAATAGGAATGAATAGAATAGAATAGAAATAGGAATGAATAGAAATACGGAATGGAATGGAATATAGAATAGAATAGAATATGGAATAGGATAAAATAGAATAGAATAGAATAGAGCCAAGGTTGCCTGCCCCTGGACTAAACTATTCCTTCAGCAATTATAGCTTGGTTGGGGATAATGGGAGGTATAATCAGCAGCGTTGCAAATTGGGAAGATCAGTTAATGGGTAAACCTGCAGCTTTTAGGGTAACGCACAGGCCCATATTTGCACTCAATTCATGCTAGTTTTCTCTTCTCCGATTGGTCCTCTGTGTTTTTTTCCTAAGCTTTGAGGGCCCTTCTTTTTTCCTTCATTGTCATCTCTCCGATCTGGTTTCGGAATAACTCACTCCTACGTGGGCAAGGATCCTATTTATCCTGCCCTCCTTGGAAAAGTGGCCCCGTGGGAAAGGCCACCAACAGGAGATCCCAAGTCCCGTATCCGATGCTTCAGCGATAAGCAATATTGAAAAATTAGGTCTGGGGCCAAAGTTATATTTTCTGCTCTTTCCCAGGAAAACTTCCTCTGAACTTTACTCTCCGTCCTCCCATACACTCCCCCCCTTGATCTAAAAGTAACTAGTTTGCGTAGGGCAGTTCTCAGTTGAATCTTTGTTCCTCAGTTCCAGGGCTAACTTTTGGCATGACAGTTTCCCATAGAAAATGTGGGCAAAATTTTTGTTGTTATTAGTTGCGAAGTCGTGTCCGACCCATCGCGTCCCCATGGACCACGTTCCTCCAGGCCTTCCTGTTCTCTACCATCTTCTGGAGTCCATTGAAGCTCACGCCTCCTGCTTCAGTGACTCCATCCAGCCACCTTCTTCTCTGTCGTCCCCTTCTTCTCTTGCCCTCCATCTTTCCCAGCATCAGGCTCTTCTCTAGGGAGTCCTTCCTTCTCATTAGGTGGCCAAAGGACTTGAGTTTCAACTTCAGGATCTGGCCTTCTAAAGAGCAGTCGGGGTTGATCTCCTCCAGGACTGACTGGTTGGATCACCTTGCAGTCCAAGGGACTCACAGGAGTCTTCTCCAGCACCGTAGTTCAAAGGCCTCCATTCTTTGGCGCTCAGCCTTTCCTATGGTCCAACTTTCACAGCCATACGTTTCAACTGGGAAAACCAGGGCCTGGACTATACGCACTTTTGTTGGCAGGGTGACATCTCTGCTTTTTAGTATGCTGTCTAGATTTGCCACAGCTTTCCTCCTCAGGAAAATTACAAAATTACAAAGGCATTTTGGCACATAGATCCGGTCTCATTCTTCGTGCTTCCAGAACAAAAACAGCCTTGTTCAAAAAGCTGAGCGTTGTCCTTTGATTTTTCTTGACTTCTGATAACATTGTTGGCAAAAATCTTTGATTGGCTACAGGGATTGGGGTGGGGGGTTTGGGGTGGTCCTGCTCCTGTGCGCAGGTCTGATTGTAGAGAAGGGCTATTAGGTGACAGCCAAAGCCATACATTCAACCCCGAAGATTGGCATTCAGAGAGATCAGCCACCGACTGACACATAGAGATAAACAACAACTACGTACCAGTCAAGCAAGACCATCTAAGGGTAAATAAGGACAGCATCTCCTTGCCAGCCATCAGCGCCCAGCTGAACAGAGGTTAACTTCAAGGTTAATACTATACCAACATCAAGCAGTAAACAATGGCCTAACCAGGGAACTACCAACTCAGATAAACGGTCTGAGCAAACAACAGTCTGAATAAGAAATCACCAAATCTTTCCCACCAACACTGACAGCCATTAATATATAAACAGAGAGCAAAAAAACCCTCCCTTCTAGCACTGATGATGTTACCTTGCTGGGTAATGAAACGTCTGCAAGAAAACCACCAAGCTCAGAGAGCGCCAAGGACTCCATAGTTCTCGTCGTCCTCCTCTTCCTCCTCCTCCTCACAAACCCCACTCCCTTCTAGGACTGATGATGTTACCTAGCTGGGTAATGAAACGTCTGCAAGAAAACCCCCAAGCTCAGAGAGCACCAAGGACTCCATAGTCGTTGTCCTCCTCCGCCTTCTTCCCCTCCTCCTCCTCCTCCTCCTCCTCCTCATAAACCCCACTCCCTTCTAGCACTGATGATGTTACCTAGCTGGGTAATGAAACATCTGCAAGAAAACCCCCAAGCTCAGAGAACACCAAGGACTCCATAATCGTTCTCCTCCTCCTCCTCCTCGCAAACCCCACTCCCTTGTAGCACTGATGATGGTACTTAGCTGGGTAATGAAACGTCTGCAAGGAAACCCCCAAGCTCAGAGTGCCCCAAGGACCTCATATTCATCCATGACATAGACCAGAGATTTAGTATGTCATGGGGATAATGGCCAGGCACCTGACCCAAACATTGATCAGACAGAAGCCCCGTGGGTGAAGTTCGGAGAATTGCCGATTCTTCTAATGGATCCCTCGGAGTCCAGGAACGAGAAGAAAATACTGCAAGGCAGGGAGAGATAAATGCTCCTTTTGAATCTTGTAAGCAGGGAGCAACTAAGAGGCAGCGAGGAAGAAGTTCAAAGGCCCAAGAAAGGCTGTCTTTAAGATGCTTGCTGATAAAGCAGTGTTTCCCAAACTTGACAATTTTAAGGCATGAGGACTTCAACTCCCAGAATTCCACAGCCAGCGTTGCTGGCTGTGGAATTCTGGGAGTTGAAGTCCTCATGCCTTAAAATTGTCAAGTTTGGGAAACACTGTGACAAAGGGTCGATATCCAATTTCCAAGATGATGTAACCTCAGCCCCATTTTCTTGCGATCCATCTGATGGATGAGAGTCTGCCAGCATCCATAGCTTGCCAAACTAAAGCAACTGAAAAATAGACTCTGAGAATCCCTAAGGATGAGCCTTCTAATTCTCTTTCTCCCGACCAAAGAATCTAAGCTTTGCCATCTTTTGACCCTTTGAAACGCAGCCTCTCCTGGTCTGGGAATCCAGACCGCGTTCCACCACATCCCTACAGGTCCCTATTCTCAGACTTTTATCTACTATCTGAGATACAGATACAGACACTTCAATGGTGAAAAAAGTAAAGGTTCTACATTTAGGCAAGAAAAATCAAATGCACAGGTATAGTATAGGGGGTACCTTGCTCAACAGTAGTAACTGTGAGAGGGACCTTGGAGTCCTAGTGGACAATCACTTCAATAGGAGCCAGCAGTGTGCTGCAGCTGCCAAAAAGACCAACACAGTGCTGGGCTGTATTAGCAGAGGGATAGAATCAAGATCACGTGAAGGGTTAATACCACCTTACAAGGCCTTGGTAAGGCCACACCTGGAATACGGCATCCAGTTTTGGTCACTACGATGTAAAAAAGATGTTGAGACTCTAGAAAGAGTGCAGAGAAGAGCCACAAAGATGATTAGGGGACTGGAGGCTAAAACATATAAGGAACGGTTGCTGGAATTGGGTATGTCCAGTTTAATGAAGAGAAGAACGAGGGGGGACAGGATAGCAGTCTTCCAATATCTCAGGGGCTGCACCAAAGAAGAGGGAGTCAAGCTACTCTCCAAAGCGCCTGAAGGCAGGACAAGAAGCAACGGATGGAAACTAACCAAGGAGAGAAGCAACCTGGAACTAAGGAGAAACTTCCTGACAGTGAGAACAATTAACCAGTGGAACAACCTGCCTCCAGAAGCGTATTATTATTATTACCTACGGAAGAGAATGTTTGTAGCACAGAGTTGAACTATGAGGTCCTTCTCTGAGCTGGGTGGTTTTCTTGAAGATGTTTCAGGACCCAACCAGGGAACATCATCAGTGTTAGAAGGGAGGAGGAGGAGGAGGGGAGTGTGGGGTCCTTGGTGCTCTCTGATCTTGGTTGTTTTCTTGTGGATGTTCCATGACCCAGCGAGGTAACACCATCAGTGCTAGAAGGGAAGGGTTTGTGGAGAGGAGGAGGAGGAGAACTGTGGGATCCTTGGTGCTCTCTGAGCTGGGTGGTTCTCTTGCAGTCGTTTCATGACCCAACTAGGTAACGTCATCAGTGCTAGAAGGGAAGGGGTGTTGCTCCCTGTTTATATATAATAATTTGCCTTGCCACTGTTGACCAGGGTGAGATTTTCCTCCTGATAGTTCCTCAATTAGGATGGATCCGAACACATGCTCTCTAGCAGCCAACACTCACCTAAGCAGGGACTGACCCCAGACAAGCAACCAGAAAACAATATCCCAATCAAGGACTTGCCAAGGAGAAAACCACCCTCCTATCAACAAGGGCAAGACAAGCTAGTAGTATATATAAACAGGGAGCCAACCCTCGTAGCACTGATGATGTTACCCAGTTGGGTCACGAAACGTCCGCAAAGAAAACCACCCAGCTCAGAGAGCACTGCAGACTCCACAGTTCAACGCGGAGCTGCAAATATTCTCTTCTCTTGGTGACTATAATTGGCATTATTTATCTGGGATCTGTACAGAACAGTGGTTCTCAACCTGTAGGTCGGGACCCCATTTGGGGTCGAACGACCATTTCACAGGGGTCGCCAAACGACGCAGTCCGCCATTTTTTCCCCCTTTTCCTTAGCTGTGCTACTCCCTTTTATTCTATTGGCTTTTGAAAGCCAATAGAATAGACTTTCTTGAATAGAGTCTAATTCTATTGGCCTTCAAAAGCCCATAGGAATTGTCCAGGCTGTCTCTGCCCTGCTGAGCCCGCCAAAAGTCCCATTCTGCAAACGGTGCTGCACCAGTTGAGTAGTCCTCGACTTACGACCGGTTGGGGGTCGCGGCATTAAAAAGGTTGAGAACCACTGGTACAGAATGTCCCAAGCTGACCTTTTTTTTAAAATTGTGGATTCCTCTCCCACAATGTGTGTTTTCTATCCAGGCTCTAATTGCATGGGTAAACAAAGTTATGTTTGTCAATATTCCTTTTCCTATTTATTTATTTAGATCATCTCTGTGGCTGCGGTCACTGGGCGACGGACAGTAGATGAAACAAACGGCAACGGTCCCATTTAAAGGACACTTTTAAAATCAAACCGCGATGTCTTTTTTTTTTTTTTCCAAAAATAACACGGAATCTTTGGGCACATCCATTATTCTTGACCCACCCCTTTGTCCAGACTGCAAAAATCATGGTCACAATTTAAAAAAAAAAAAAAAACTCTCCTTCCTCAGACTAATGAATAAAACCAATAACTAGAAAGGCAGTTTAGTGTAGTGGTTAAGGTGGTGGCCTAGGACCCAAGAGACTGTGAGTTCGAATCCTACTTTAGGCACGAAAAACGGTGGGATGACTTGGAGCCAACCACGGGAAAATCTGAGCTCTAATCCCATCTCATCCCATCTTGAAACCAGGAGAGGTTGAGTTCTAGTACCACTTAGGCACAAAAGCTGGCTAGGTGATGTTGGCTAGCCACCAGGCAGATTGTGGTTTCTAGTCCCACCTCAGCCATGAAAACCAGCTGGTTGACTTGGGCCAATCACTAGGAGACAGGGAGTTCTAGTTTTGCCTTCTGCATGAAAGCAATGAGTTCTAGTCCCGTTTTAGACACGAAAACTAGCTGGGTGACTTTGGGCCAATCACCAGGAGACAATAAGTTCTAGTCCCGCCTTACGCCCGAAAACTGGCTGGGTGACTTTGAGCCAATCACCAGGAGACGGTGAGTTCTAGTCCCGCCTTAGGCACGAAAACTGGCTGGGTGACTTTGGGCCAATCACCAGGAGACGGGGAGTTCTAGTCCCGCCTTAGGCACGAAAACTGGCAGGGTGACTTTGAGCCAATCACCAGGAGACGGGGAGTTCTAGTCCCGCCTTAGGCACGAAAACTGGCAGGGTGACTTTAGGCCAATCACCAGGAGACGGGGAGTTCTAGTCCCGCCTTAGGCACGAAAACTGGCAGGGTGACTTTAGGCCAATCACCAGGAGACGGGGAGTTCTAGTCCCGCCTTAGGCACGAAAACTGGCAGGGTGACTTTGGGCCAATCACCAGGAGACGGGGAGTTCTACTCCCGCCTTAGGGATGAAAGCCAACTAGAGGTTTTGGGGCCAGTCTCTCTCTCTTGGCCTAACCCACCTCGCTGGGTTGTTGTGGGGAAAAGAAGAGGAAGGAGTATTAGGTATGCTTGCTGCTTTGAGTTATTCATAAGCAAGAATAAATGCAGAATAAAAATCAATCTCTTTCTTTCTTTTTCTTTCTTCCTCTTTCTCTCTCTCTCTCTTTCTCTCTCTCTCTCTCTCTCTCTCTCTCTCTCTCCTCTTAGATCATCAAGTTGAAAGCCGAAGCTCGCCTGGACCTCCTGAAGCAGATTGGCGTTTCGGTGGACACCTGGCTGAAAAGTGCAATGAATCAAGTGATGGAGGAACTGGAGAACGAGCGATGGGCCAGCCTGCCAGCCATGGCCAGCAACGGCTCTTCACACGTGGTAGGGCTGGGAGTCTCTAACCGTCCCCTTCGCGGTCCCCAAAGCACAGCCCTCCTCCCTCCCTCTCCTCTTCCCTTCTAGCCCTGATGAAGTTCCCTAGTTGGGTCATGAAACGTCTGCAAGAAAACCACCCAGTTCAGAGAGCACCCAGGACCCCACAGTAGCTCTCCTCCTCCTCCTCCTCTCCACAAACCCCTCCCTTCTAGCACTGATAATGTTACGTAGTTGGGTCATGAAACGTCTGCAAGGAAACCACCCAACTCAGAGAGCACCCAGGAACCCCCAGTCCTCCTCCATCTCCTTTCCATTCCCTTCTAGCCCTGATGATGATTCCTAGTTGGGTCATGAAAGGTCTGCAAGACCACCAAGGATCCATCAGTCCTTCTCCTTCTCCTTCTGCTCCTCCTCCTCCTCCTCCCTTCTAGCCCTGATGATGATTCCTAGTTGGGTCATGAAATGTCTGCAAGAAAAGCACCCATCTTAGAGAGCAGCAAGGACCCCACAGTAGCTCTCCTCCTCCTCCTCCTCCTCCTCTCCGCAAACCCTACTTCCTTCTAGCTCTGCTGATGTTCCTTAGTTGGGTCATGAAACGTCTGCAAGAAAACCACAGTCTCTTGTAGCATTGATGATGTTCCCTAGTTGGGTCATGAAATGTCTGCAAGAAAACAATCAACCTCAGAGAGCACCATGGATCCCACAGTCTGTCCTTCCTCTCTTCCTTCCTCCTCCTCCTCCTCTTCCTCCCTTCTAGCCCTGATGATGTTTTATTTATTTTATTTATTTATGAGACTTATATACCGCTTTAAGTGCAAGCACTCTCTAAGCGGTGTACACCAGTAAGCAATGTATATATATATATTTACATTGCCCCCAACCATCTGGGTCCTCATTTTACCTACCCCGGAAGGATGGAAGGCTGAGTCAACCTTGAGCCGGTGAGATTTGAACCGCTGACCTGCTGAACACAGTCAGCTAAAGTGGCCTGCAGTACTGCACTCTAATGCTGCGCCACCTCGGCTCATGTTCCCTAGTTGGATCATGAAATTTCTGCAAGAAAACCATCCAGCTCAGAGAGCAGCAAGGACCCCACAGTCTGTCCTTCCTTCCTTCCTTCCTTCCTTCCTTCCTTCCTTCCTTCCTTCCTTCCTTCCTTCCTTCCTTCCTTCCTCTTCCTCCTCCTCCTCCCTTCTAGCCCTGATGATGTCACCTAGTTGGGTCACGAAACGTCTGCAAGAAAACCTCCCAGCTCAGAGAGCACCCGGGACCCCGCAGTTCCACCCTGAGCTGGAGAGATTCTCTCTCCTAATGGAAGTGACAATTTCGGGTCTGGTGAGATTTTCGGCAGAGGGATCCCTTGCCGCTGACATGCAGGTCTGCCATTCAGACAGTGACCTAAACGAGGAGGACAGACGAGAGTGTGGAGGAAGAAAGAAAAGTGAGATTTTTCTTGAGCGCCAAGAGAATCCGAGAAAAGGAGCCTTCAGGGCTCTTTGTTGCCAAGATGCCAGCGGGGAGGAACACGCCCACTCCTTCCTCCCCTTCCCCCGCTTCCTTTGGCTCCGTGCCTCAGTTTCTTTTTTTGTGTGTGTGAAACCTGGACTTTCCCCAATAATTCCTCCTCCGCCTGAATTCCTAATGAGTTGGCAGACACAGGGATGGGGGGAGAACGATGAAAACTCCCTTCTGTTTTCTCCCTGCCTACCAGCCTTCGTGTAAAAAGATTTCCCTGATATTCCTTGGAAAGCAGGGGTGTGTGTGTGTGTGTGTGTGTGTGTCTTTGTTTTTTCGTTTTTTTCCCCTAAAGTAAAATCTAACATTGCAAGACCAAAAGAGCACCCTCTTTTTTTTTCGCTTTTATAGTCTCAGTCTACGTTTCCTACACTCCCCTTCCTTTCCCTTTCTTGCCCATCCCAAACCTCTTCCCCTGCTTTATTTTAAAATTCAGCTCGACTTAGCAACCGTTCAATTTAGTGACCGTTCGAAGTTACAAGGGCGCTGAAAAAAAGCAACTTTTGGCTATTTTGTTTTTACACGATTGCAGCATGTGATCAACATCTGTCTCTTTTATGATTCGTGGACTTCAACTCCCAGAATTCCTGAGCCAGCATGGGGGAACTATGGCCCCTTCATGACTTGTGGACTTCAACTCCCAGAATTCCTCTGCCAGCATGGGGAAAACTTTGGCCCCCTCATGAGTCGTGGACTTCAACTCCCAGAATTCCTGAGCCAGCATGGAAAACTTTGGCCCCTTCATGACTGGTGGACTTCAACTCCCAGAATTCCTGAGCCAGCATGGGGGAACTTGGCCCCTTCATGACTTGTGGACTTCAACTCCCAGAATTCCTGAGCCAGCATGGGGGAACTATGGCCCCTTCATGACTTGTGGACTTCAACTCCCAGAATTCCTGAGCCAGCATGGGGAACTATGGCATGACTGTGGACTTCAACTCCCAGAATTCCTGAGCCAGCATGGCTCAGCTTGGAAACCTCTCCCTTCCCCTCAGCATGGCTGGCTCAGGAATTCTGGGAGTTGAAGTCCACGAGTCATAAAAGAGCCAAGGTTGCCTACCCCTTCTTTAAACAGTTGCTAAACCAGCGGTTCTCAGCCTGTGGGTCGGGACCCCATTTGAGGTCAAACGACCATTTCACGGGGGTCGCCAAACAACGCAGTCCGCCATTTTTTCCCCCCTTTCCTTAGCTGTGCTACTCCCTTTAATTCTATTGGCTTTCGAAAGCCAATAGAACAGACTCTCTTGAATAGAGTCTAATTCTGTTGGCTTTCAAAAGCCAATAGGAATCGTCCAGGCTGTCTCTGCCCTGCTGAGCCCGCCAAAAGTCCCATTCTGCAAACAGTGCTGCACCAGTTGAGTGGTCCTCGACTTATGACCGGTTGAGTAGTCCTGGACTTACGACCGGTTGGGGGCCGCGGCATTAAAAAGGTTGAGAACCACTGTGCTAAATGAATGTTAATAAGCCGAGAACTATTTGTATTGAGTAACAGATGCTCACAGCCTCTTTCTCTTTTTCTCCATTAGCTAAACGTTGATCTGGAAAGGGAAGATGGAGAAGACGGCCTGGATGCTTTTGAAGACAGCAACTCCAGTCCTTCCGGCACCCTCCGCAATTACCCCTTGACCTGCAAAGTGGTTTATTCATACAAGGTAGGTAATGTTCAAAACCTTCGAAGGGGACAGATTTTCATATAAAGAGATTGTGGGGCATTTTTGCACGCAGGACTAGCAGGCTGTTCCCTTAAAAAAATCTTTCCCAACTCCTGAAGTCCCAAAGGTGCTTTTTTTAGGGAGGCAACTGGACTTCCTTGTTTTTCTTTCAAGATGTTTCGCTTCTCATCCAGGAAGCTTCTTCAGCTCTGACTGGATGGTGCGGAATGGAAGGATTTATACTCTTTGCAGAAAAACTGGTCATTTGGCTTCTTTAGTGCAGGGATAGGCAACCTTGGCTCTTTTATGACTCGTGGACTTCAACTCCCAGAATTCCTCAGCCAGCATGGGGGAACTATGGCCCCTTCATGACTTGGGGACTTCAACTCCCAGAATTCCTGAGCCAGCATGAGGGAAACTTTGGCCCCTTCATGACTCGTGGACTTCAACTCCCATAATTCCTGAACCAGCATGGGGGAACTATGGCCCCTTCATGTCTTATGGACTTCAACTCCCAGAATTCCTCAGTCAGCATGGGGGAACTATGGCCCCCTTTATGACTTGTGGACCAATTCCCAGAATTCCTGAGCCAGCCATGCTGAGGGGAAAGGGAGAGGTTTCCAAGCTGAGCCATGCTGGCTCAGGAATTCTGGGAGTTGAAGTCCATGAGTCATGAAGGGGCCATAGTTCCCATGCTGGCTCAGGAATTCTGGGAGTTGAAGTCCACGAGTCATAAAAGAGCCAAGGTTGCCTACTCCTGGTTTAGAGGGTCATTGAGGCCACCTGGAAGTTTATCTTTGCCTAACAACCAGATAACAACAATAATAATAACAATAACAACAATAATAATATAATAATAATAGCAATAAAGTTGGAAGGGACCTTGGAGGTCATCTAGTCCAACCCCTTCCTGCTCCGGCAGGAAACCCTATACCATTTCAGACAAATGGCTGTCCAGTCTCTTCTTAAAAACTTCCAGTGTTGGAGCATTCCCAGCTTTTGGAGACAGATGGTTCCACTGGTTAATTGTTCTGTCAGGAAGTTTCTCCTTAGTTCCAGGTTGCTTCTCTCCTTGATGAGTTTCCATCCGTTGCTTCTTGTCCTTCCTTCAGGAGCTTTGGAGAAAGAATAGCTCGACTCCCTCTTCTTTGGGGCAGCCCCTGAGATACTGGAATGCTGCTATCCTGTCCCCCCTCGTCCTTCTCTTCATTAAACTGGACATACCCAATTCCAGCAGCCATTCCTTATATGCTTTAGCCTCCAGACCTCTAATCATCTTTGTTGCTCTTCTCTGCTCTCTTTCTAGAGTCTCAACATCTTTTTTACATCGTGGTGACCAAAACTGGATACAGGATTCCAAGTGTGGCCTTACCAAGGTCTTGTAAAGTGGTATTAATACTTCCACGTGATCTTGATTCTATCCCTCTGTTAATGCAGCCCAGCACTGTGTTGGCTGTTTTGGCAGCTGCCAGGAATAAAAATCCTTCCATCCTCCACCCTTCAGTCAGAACTGAAGAAGCTTCTTGGATGAGAGGTGAAACGTCTTCAAGCAGAAACAAAGTCTTTTAGAAAAACACCTTGGGGGGCAACCATGACCTGGATGACGTGAGAATCTCCACAGACACGTAAATCTGGGTGCTGATTAGGGCATGCAAGGAACCGATTTTAGGGGAATTCGGAGCAAAACAGCCCGTGCGGAACCAAAATAATCTCTCATTATTTCGTGCCCGTTGCAACGGAATCAAACTCAGAAGGGGATATTTGTAACAAAGGGATAGTCTCAAAGTCACGCGAAGTGTTAATACCACTTTACAAGGCCTTGGTAAGGCCACACTTGGAATGCTGCATCCAGTTTTGGTCCCCACGATAAAAAAATAGATGCTGAGACTCCAGAAAGAGGGCAGAGAAGAGCAAGGAAGATGATTCCATTCTAAGTCTTAAAGTTGCCAAGTACGACGATCCCTGGTGGCTGGGGAATTCTGGGAGTTGAAGTCCACGGGTCTTAAAGTTGCCTAGTTTGGAAAATAGTCCACCCCAGGTAGTCCTGGACTTAAACTAGTAGTTTAGTAACCAAAGTTGCAATCTACCTGTGAAAAGGGAGTATGACCCCCCCCCCCCGGTCAAGCCTTCCCAGGACTCTTTTTAAAAGAGGATTAGGGGACTAGAAGACCTCCAGGAGGAACTTCCTGACAGTTAGAACAATTAACCAGTGGAACTACCTGCCTCTAGAAGCGGTGAATGCTCCAACACCGGAGGTTTTTAAGAAGAGACTGGGCAGCCATTGGTCCAAAATGGTTTAGGGTTTCCTGCCTGAGCAGGGGGTTGGACTAGATGACCTCCAAGGTCCCTTCCAACTTTATTATTATTATTAATAAAGGTTCCCTTCCGACTCTTGTCATTCTGTTGCCTCCTTCTCTCTTCCCAAATTTCTAAGCTGGCTTCCCCAGTTCGCAGCCTCCCTCCTCAGGTTCCTAGCTTGCCTTTTGCCCTTCAAGCTTCTCACCACTTGGCTTTCCAGGATCTCATCAATTTTACAAGTCATTAACTCACCCATTTTCTCACCCTTCCCCCCCCCAACCAATTCACTCTTTCCTGTTGGTTTTGTAATTCGATCCTCACTCATCACCTCCTGTGACTGCAAATCATCATCTCAGTGGACTTTTTTCTTCCCTATCTTCCTCTCCGTGAAAACCCTCCTAGCTTTTTACCGCGAGGTCCTGTCGCTTTTTTTTTTTTTTGCAAGCCACAAACTTCTCTCCTTTTGCAAGCCACAAACTTCTCTCAAAAAGTTGCCAGAACTGCAACTTTTTTTTAGTCTTCCCACCTTCCCCGCAAGCCACTTTGCCCTTCCTCTTTTTCTTTTTCTTTTCTTTTTTCTTCTTTTTTCTTTTTGTTATTTTAGCAGTTGCATCCTCATTCATTCCCTATATGTGCTGCAACTACCTTATTTCCTTTATATGAATAAATCAATCACACAGAGTGATAGATGAGACAGAGAGAGAGATAAGAGAGTTGATAGATGATGGATTAGATAAATAGAGATAATAGATTAGATAGATAGATAGATAGATAGATAGATAGATAGATAGATAGATAGATAGATAGATAGATAGATAGATAGATAGATAGATAGATAGATAGATAGATAGATAGATAGATAGATAGATAGATAGATAGATAGATAGATAGATAGATAGATAGATATAGAGATAGATAGATAGATAGATAGATAGATAGATAGATAGATAGATAGATAGATAGATAGATAGATAGATAGGTAGGTAGATAGGTAGATATAGAGATAGATAGATAGATAGATAGATAGATAGATAGATAGATAGATAACTGATAGATAGATAACTGATAGATAGTTAGATAGTAGAGATAGATAGATAGACAGACAGATAGATAAATAACCGATAGATAGATAGATAGATAGATAGATAGATAGATAGATAGATCTGATAGATGTGATAGATAGATCTGATAGATGTGATAGATAGATAGATAGATAGATAGATAGATAGATAGATAGATAGATAGATAGATGATTAGATAGATGATAGACAGACAGTCAGATCAGAAAGAAATAGGGCAGCTGGCTAAGGAATTCTGGGAGTTGAAGTCCACGAGTCTTAAAATCACCACCTTTGGGCACCCTGTCCTGACCCCCGTCGCCTCCCCCTCCCCAAAGCCCCTTCCTGCCCTTTTTTACGCGCCTCTTCCTCTCCTTCCTCCCGCAGGCTTCGCAGCCGGATGAATTAACCATCGAGGAGCAGGAGGTCTTGGAAGTGATCGAGGACGGGGATATGGAAGACTGGGTAAAGGTATCGGTTGGCGTTTCCTGTCTTTGTCTGGCACGGCCTCTCCTTGTTTTTGTTTTTTTGTTTTGTTTTATTTCGTTTTGTTTTCTTTTCCGCCGTCATCATCGCAACCCTCCTAACGCTCAGCGTGCTCCTCTTCCCCGCTTTCGCAGGCCCGGAATAAGTCCGGCCACGTGGGCTACGTCCCGGAGAAATATTTGCAGTTCCCGACATCCAACAGTCTCCTGAGCATGTTGCAGTCCCTGGCAGCCTTAGACAGCCGATCTCACACCTCCAGCAACTCCACCGAAGCCGAGCTCGTCTCGGGAAGCCTTAACGGAGACTCCAGCGGTAAGGGCCGAGAGGGCTGAATCTGTGTGTGTCTGTGTGTGTTGGGAGACACCCCTGCTATCCTGCACATCCCAGACATAAAAAAAAAACCACATTCTCAACCATTCATGATTTGCCGTTTCACAACCCAGCTTCAGCTCCAGTGAGAAACATTGCAATGAAAGCCAGCAATGGGCCACTTGGGGCCAATCCCCAGGTGACAGTGAGTTCTAGTCCCACCTTAGGTATGAAAGCCAGCTGGGTGACTTTGGGCCAATCACCAGGAGATGGTGAGTTCTAGTTCTTTCTTAGGCTTGAAAGCCAGCTGGGTGACTTTGGGCCAATCACCAGGTGACAGTGAGTTCTAGCCCTGCCTTAGCCATTAAAGCCTGCTTGAGTGCCTTTTTGCCAATCACTAGGAGACAGTGAATTCTAGTCCCACCTTAGCCAGGAAAGCCTTCTAGATGACTTTGGGCCAATCACTAGATGAGAGTGAGTTCTAGTTCTGCCTTAGCCATGTAAGCCAGCTGGGTGACTTTGGGCCAATCACCAGGTGACAGTGAGTTCTAGTTCCGCCTTAGGCATGAACGTCTGCTGGGTGATTTTGGGCCAATCACTAGATGAGAGTGAGTTCTAGTTCTGCCTTAGCCACGAAAGCCAGCTGGCTGACTTTGGGCCAATCCCCAGGAGACTGTGAGTTCTAGCCCTGCCTTAGCCATGAAAGCCTTCTTGAGTGCCTTTTTGCCAATCACTAGGAGACGGTGAGTTCTAGTCCCGCCTTAGGCATGAAATTGGGCTGGGACTTTGAAACGATCCTCAGGAGACGGTGAGTTCTACTCCCCTGAAAGCTGGCTGGGTGACTCGCTAAGCCAGTGATTCTCAACCTTTTTAATGCCGCGACCCCCAACCGGTCGTAAGTCGAGGACTACTCAACCGGTCGTAAGTCGAGGACTACTCAACTGGTGCAGCACCGTTTGCAGATTGGGACTTTTGGCGGGCTCAGCAGGGCAGAGACAGCCTGGACAATTCCTATTGGCTTTTGAAAGCCAATAGAATTAGACTCTATTCAAGAGAGTCTCTTCTATTGGCTTTCGAAAGCCAATAGAATAAAAGGGAGCACAGCTAAGGAAAAGGGGGGGCAAAAATGGCGGACTGCGTTGTTTGGCGACCCCCGTGAAATGGTCGTTCGACCCCAAATGAGGTCCCGACCCACAGGTTGAGAACCACTGCACTAAGTTTATTCGTAGTGGGGAAACATCCGTTTCTGTGCTCGCCCACCTTGATCGACTCATAATAAACAATAAAGGGCTGGATAAAAATCGAACAAATGAATAAAGATCGGCGCTCGGGAGGATTCCCAACGTGCTAATGCCGCCCGTTTCCGCTTCCTCCCTTCCAGTCTGTTTTGTAAAAGCACTTTACGATTACGAGGGCCAGACGGACGAGGAGCTCTCCTTTCCGGAAGGAGCCATCATCCGCATCCTGAACAAAGAAAACCAGGACGACGACGGCTTCTGGGAAGGCGAATTCAACGGCCACGTCGGGGTTTTCCCTTCCGTCCTGGTCGAAGAACTGACCGTGTCCGAAAACGGAGAGGTGGCGTGTCTCGCCGAAGTTCAGGTAGAGGTAGTCCTCGCTTTACGACCACAAAGAGGACTCGGGATAAAACATCTGCGCCCCATTCTTCTCCCACCCTCCCTACGCCCCAGTGCTGGTCTTCTCTTCCGAGCAAGTCCTTTTCGTTCAAATCGAGTCTCTGCCATCACACGTCTTCTTGCAGGTAGTCCTCGGCTTTACGACCGCTCGCTTTGTGACTGTTCAAAGTTACAACCTACTATCCGGAAAACGGAAGTAATGATGATTTGGTTCTGAAGGTCCGATAAGCACCCCTTCTCCCCCTCCCCCCACAGTCACATGCCTGAATTTTGGGCCCTGGGCAGCTCGGCCATAATTTCGATCTTTATTGCAGCAACTTTTGATGTTACGACAGTTTTGGGCCCACCCACCCCACCTCCAAACCGGAAGTTCACTTGCCAAATGGTTACCAACCCCCGGCACTCGCTTAACGACCGCTGTGCCCGTTTTACAACCGTCGCAATTGGTTAAGGACCGACGCGAAAGAAGCGTGGTCAAAAATCAGGTCACGGGACCGATCCTGTTTTATGATTGTTACAGAAGCATAAAAAACTTACATGTATGACAAACAGCAGCGAGAATTACATTGGAAAAACAAAGAAACACCAATGGAAGAAGACATAGTTGGGAAAATTTGGGACTGTGCGGAAATGGATAGGCTCACATTGAAAATGAAAGGCAAAGAATAATAATGAAATAATAATAATAATATGAAGTAGTAGTAGTAGGAAGGGACCTTAAAGGTCATCTAGTCCAACCCCCTGCTCAGGCAGGTAACCCTATACCATTTCAGACAAATGGCTGTCCAGTCTCTTCTTAAAAACTTCCAGTGTTGGAGCATTCACTGCTTCTGGAGGCAGGTGGTTCCACTGGTTAATTGTTCTAACTGTCAGGAAGTTTCTCCTTAGTTCCAGGTTGCTTCTCTCCTTGACTGGTTTCCACCCGTTGCTTCTTGTCCTGCCTTCAGGCGCTTTGGAGAACAGCTTGACTCCCTCTTCTTTGGGGCAGCCCCTGAGATACTGGAAGACTGCTATCCTGTCCCCCCTCGTCCTTCTCTTCATTAGACTAGACATAATAATAATAATGATAAAGTTGGAAGGGACCTTGGAGGTCATCTAGTCCAACCCCCTGCTCAGGCAGGAAACCCTAGACCATTTCAGACAAATGGCTATCCAGCCTCTTCTTAAAAACATCCAGTGTTGGAGCATTCACCGCTTCTGGAGGCAAGTGATTCCACTGGCTAATTATTCTTACTGTCAGGAAATTTCTCCTTAGTGCTAGGTTGCTTCTCTCTTTGGTTAGTTTCCATCCGTTGCTTCTTGTCCTGCCTTCAGGGGCTTTGGAGAATAGCTTGACTCCCTCTTCTTTTGTGAAGTCCTACAGGTAGTCCTTGACTTAAGACCACACTTCCGTTGCTAAGTGAGACCTCTGTGAAGTGAGTTTTGGCCACCTTCCTTGCCACTGCGGTTAAGCGAATCCCTGCAGTTGTTCCATTAGTAACACGGTCGCTAAATGAATCCCACTTCCCACTTCGTCGGAAGGTCACAAAAGGGGGGGATTGTGACCCCACCGGGAGACCGCGACTAATTCATAAATACGAAGCGGTCGCCCAGCGTCTGGATTTTGATCACGTGACCCCGGGGAAGCTGCCACGGTCGTCAGTGTGAAAAAGGGGTCACGAGTGACTTTTTTCAGCCCCGTCATAACTTTTGAACGGTCACTAAAGGAACTGTTGTAAGTTGAGGACTGCCTCTGTGTGCCTTGGATCGAGAGCCGAATTCGGATGTTTGTTTCCTGTCCTGACTTGGATTGATATTATGGATTGATATTATGGTTCCCATCGAATCCCAGTCAGTTCCCAGGGATGACCACAGAGAGATGGACGTTTTTTTTCCTCAGGGAGACCCGTGGCTCTTTCCGTGGCTGTGAAGGACATCCTCCGTTTACGGCCGTCTTCTCTGCTTCCCCACAGGTCTTTCCGTCCACCAAGTCCCAGAATTCCCTGGCGCCCTTGCCCCTCTACGATCAGCCCCCCGCCAGCCCTCTCCCCAGTCCCGACAAGAGAGGAGCCCAGGGCTTCCCGCGGTCGCCATCGGCAAACGGTAAGAGGGGCTCGCCTCCCCCTGGGGTACCCTGCGGGCAAGAAGGCCACGATCAAGCCACAGGTGGCCTTTTCAGACACTGAGGAGCACCTGGTCCGCAAGGGTGCCATCAACTCCTGACCCAGATCTGTTGCGTGGTCCGGTCAGTTTCACTCAATATTGTGGTCTAGCGGTGTAAGTGCTGCCTGGCAATTGGGGGGGGGTCAACCTAGGTTCAAGTCCCCCATCAATCACGGAGGTGGCCCAGAGAGGCTGAAGCTGGAGCCATTTTCTCTCTTTCTTTCTTTCTTTCTTTCTTTCTTTCTTTCTTTCTTTCTTTCTTTCTTTCTTTCTTTCTCTCTCATTCTTTTTCTTTGTCTCTCTTTCCTTCTCTTTTTTTCTTTCTCTCACTTTTTCTCTCTCTCTGTCACTTTTTTCTTTCTTTCTCTTTTTCTTTCCTTCTCTTTTTCTTCTTTCTCTCACTCACTTTTTCTCTCTTTCTCTGTCTCCTTCTCTATTTCTTTCTTTCTCTTTTTCTTTCTCTCTTTCTCTCTCTCTCTCTGTTTTCCTTTCCCTTTTTCTCTCTCTCTCTTTCTGTCTGTCACCTCAGGCCACCTCACAGGACTGTTGTGTTGTGCAAACAGGAGAAGAGAGCATTAGATATGTCCCCCCGCGAGTTCTCTAAGGAAAAGCAAATACGAAATTCCTGTCTTAGATAGGATGAGTTGGAGAGTTACGAAAACCTCAATGAGAAGAACATGAATTTCTGCATCTAAACAGAAAGGAAGTCCTCCATTTCTATAAGGATAAGAATCTTAAACATCCAGTGAAAAGCTTTCAAAGTCAGAGGTGGGGAACCAGGGCCCCACTCGTGGACTTCAACTCCCAGAATCCCTGAGCACTCAGGGGGGAACTATGTGGCCCCTTTTCATGACTTGCAGACTTCAACTCCCAGAATTCCTCAGCCAGCATGAAGGAACTAAGGCCCCTTCATGACTTGTGGACTTCAACTCCCAGAATTCCTGAGCCAGCATAGGGGAACTATGGCCCCTTCATGCTTGTGGACTTCAACTCCCAGAATTCCTCAGCCAGCATTGGGGAACTTTGGCCTCTTCATGCTTGTGGACTTCAACTCCCAGAATTCTTTTGGCAGCATGGGGGAACTATGGCTTCTTCATGACTCGTGGACTTCAACTCCCAGAATTCCTGAGCCAGCATGGGGGAACTATGGCCCTTTCATGACTCGCGGACTTCAACTCCCAGAATTCCTGAGCCAGCATGGGGGAACTATGGCCCCTTCATGACTGGTGGACTTCAACTCCCAGAATTCCTCAGCCAGCATGGGGGAACTATGGCTCCTTCATCACTTGTGGACTTCAACTCCCAGAATTCCTCAGCCAGCATGCCTGGCTGAGGAATTCTGGGAGTTGAAGTCCACAAGTCATAATAGGGCCCTGGTTCCCTGACTCCTAATCTAAGCGGTGCATCCTTAGATTCTCCATTTTGAAAACAACAGGACTTCAACTCCCAGAATTGCCCAGCCGGCAAGCTTTGTAGTCCACACTTCTTACAGTCGCAGAAAGTACGAAATTTTGTCCTTGAAACATTCTCATTGTGGGTTTTTTTTTTATTGTTCTTTTGTTGCAGTTTCAGAAAACAATTTCATGTCAAGTTCCCCTGGATTTTCCCAGCCATCCCGACTCCTTCCTGAAAGCACTTCCTACGGCAAACTCAGACCGGTAAGTTTTAAGACTCTCCACACAGCAGTAGAAATAAAAAGGGGGTGCCTTTTTGCTGCACCGTGGTTGCGGCTTTGGTGTGCTTGCTCCAGGCACAAACCAAGTTAGAACAGGGTTTAATTTCACCTGCCCCAGGGTGGCTAAATTACAGGGTGGCCAGCTGGGAATCCATCTTGCCTACCAATTGCACGTTGCCTTTTGAAAGGTGAGACTCAGATATTAGTTCCCTTCAGCTTCTACAGAGAGTCCTCGAAGCTACAACGGCACCGGAAAATGTGACTTACGACGATTTTTCACGCTTAACGACCGTCGCAGCATCCCCAGGGTGAGGTGATTTACATTCGGATGTTTGACAACTGACTCACATTTATGACAATTGCAGCCTCCTGGGGTCACGTGATCCCCATTTTGCGACCTTCTCTCAAGCAAAGTCAAGGATTCACTTAACGGCCGTGTGATTAATTTAACAACGGCGGCGATTCACTTAACCAGCGTGGCAAGAAAAGTCGTAAAATGGGGCAAAAAAACAAATTTTTCACTTAGCAGCATAAATTTTGGGCTCGGTTGTGATTGTAAGTTGAGGACTACCTGTATGATGGAAGTTGGAAACTTTTCAGAATGAAGTTAGAGCAGTGGTTCTCAACCTTTTTAATGCCGCGACCCCCCAACCGGTCATAAGTCGAGGACTACTCAACTGGTGCAGCACTGTTTGCAGACTGGGACTTTTGGCGGGCTCAGCAGGGCAGAGACAGCCTGGACAATTCCTATTGGCTTTTGAAAGCCAATAGAATTAGACTCTATTCAAGAGAGTCTATTCTATTGGCTTTCAAAAGCCCATAGAATAAAAGGGAGTAGCACAGCTAAGGAAAAGGGGAAAAAAATGGCGGACTGCGTTGTTTGGCAACCCCCGTGAAATGGTCGTTCGACCCCAAATGGGGTCCCGACCCACAGGTTGAGAACCTCTGAGTTAGAGTGAGTTTGCAAAGTACGACTTCTGGTTTGCCGCCACGGACGTTTGGAAGACGAGCTCCGTCTTCCGCGTCCGTTTTCGCTCCGCTGGGGGACCCTGGAAAGAGTCAAAAGTCGTCTGTAGGGGCGACGAGCAAGGAAGGGACCCCCGCTTGATCGCGGGAGGGGGCAGCCCTTCTGCTCGATCCGGGGCAGGCCTCCAAACTGGTGGAGCAAAGACCAGACATAGTAATATGGCCCGTCATTAGGCTGCAGACAGCCGAAGTCAAATTTACTACCAAGCACTTTGAAAACGACACGGATGAAACTGGGTGAGATCTGATCTTCTCTTTACCCTAAGTACTTTTTCTTCCTGTAAAAGCTGCCTGAAGTATCTTTCTCCCTGTGTGGAGAGAAGGAAGGGAATTTGTAGCCCACCCTCTAAGAATAACGGCATCTGACTACCCAGGGGGATTAAAGCATTAAAAGAACAACTTTAATCAAATTGGTTTTATATGTTCCTGAAACTTGGGGACCAAAAATTTTCCTATTTTTATTGGAGACTCTTGTTTTTATCTACAAAAAAGAAATAAAATTGGAGAAAGAGTTTGCAAAGTACAAGTAGTCTCTTGACGTACGATTGGGCCCCACGTTTCTGTGGCTAATCAGAAATTGTTAAGTGAACGTTGTTAAGTGAATGTTGCCCTGTTTTGCGACCTGGCTTGACGCAGTTGTTAAGCGAATCACTGCAGATGTTTAGAAACATGGTTGTTAAATGAAATCTGGCTTCCCCGTCGCAACAGGAGAGCGTGTGACCCCCCGGGACACGGCAACCATCATAAAATATGAGTTAGTTGTCTGAATTTTGATCACGTGTCTCCGGAATGCAGCAGCCGTCATAAATACGAGACGGTTGCCAAGCCTCTGAATTTTGATCACGTGACCCCGGGGAGGCTTGCAACGGTCGTAAGCGTGAAAAGGTCCCAAGTCACTTTTTTTCAGGGCTGGCGTAACTTCAAACGGTCACTAAACAAATGGCCGTAAGTCGAGGACTTTGTGTACTCTGTTGTTCTGTGAAATCTCGACTAGCTGACCTGTTTTTTTTCCTCACTGTGGTCTGTTTGGGGGGTTCCAGGTCCGAGCCGCCCCACCACCCCCCACCCAACACCGCCGCCCCCCCGAGAAGATTGAAGACGTGGAAATCACCTTAGTGTGACCGGAACTGCCCAGGCCGGGACTCCAGCTAAAACCCGGGCGCGGCCCTCGCCCACTGGCCTTGCGAGGGACAGTTTGTGTTTGAACGAGGCGACTGCTTAAAAGCTGGAGGGGGGAACACGGGAAGATCCTCCAGGAACACCGTTGTGTGGGTGGGTGCTTCTTCCCACCGTTGATGGACATTTTGTGCCTTTTTTATTTGTTGTCGTTGGGTTTCGCCTTCTCGATCCGCCTGTGTAGCACAACACAAGCAGCCATGCCTTTTTCAGCTGGACAGCAGCGAGTTTTAATTTTTTTTCCAGGGGTGCGCCAAACATCCGCCACCCTGCTTTCACATGGCCCGTCGACCCGTTGCGACTGTATGGTGGCTACAATTGTTGGGGAACCTGGCCTAATCCCATCCCGGTCTGATTTTAGCCTTTCCTTAATCGGTGACTTCCAGATGTAGTAGAACTATGATTGCCATCATCGCTGTGAGCACTCTGCCGGCGTTGCAGCTCCAACATGTGGAAGGCACCATGTTTGGACGGGGTTGCAGCTTCAACATCTGGAAACTCATGTTTGGACAAAGGTTGCAGCTCCCAACATCTGGAGGCTGCCGTGTTCGGACAGATGTCGCAGCTGCAACATCTAGAAACTCGTGTTCAGACAGATGTTGCGGCTCCAACATCTGAAAGCTGCTGTGTTTGGACAGATGTCGCAACTCCAACATCTGGAAACTCATGTTCAGACAGATGTCGCAGCTCCAACATCTGGAAACTCATATTCTGACATACCGCGGCTCCAACATCTGGGAAGTCATGTTCTGACAGATGCCACAGTTCCAACATCTGGAGGCTGCCATGTTCAGACATGTGTCGCAGCTCCAACATCTGGACACTCATTTTCAGACAGATGTCACAGCTCCAACATCTGGACACATTCTGACATATCACAGCTCCAACCTCCGGAATCTAATGTTCTGACACATGCCATAGTTCCAACATCTGGAGGCTGCCATGTTCGGACAGAGGTCACAGCTCCAACCTCTGGAAGCTGCCATTTTCAGACAGGTTACAGCTCCCAACCTTTGGAGGCTGCTGCGTTCCAACAGATGTCGCCGCTCCAACATCTGCAAACTCATGTTCAGACAGATGCTGCCGTTCCAACCTCTGGAAGCCATCACATTTGGACCGGATCGTTTCCTTCCACGGCCCCGGCGAACGTTTCCCTGGCACTTAAAGGAGGAATTTTGGCGTTAACGGTTTGGCGCAGCCAATCCCCCCGGGGCGCTTCTCTGCATAAGGAGTGTAATCTGTACCCCTGCTCCAAATCAGGGCGTATATATATAAATATACGCTACGCGCATCAGTGCAGGATTTTACTGTTGTCATAGGAATGTATTAAAACCTTTCTTCTCTCACACCCCCCCCCTCCCACCAACCTCTCCAAGTAGCGTCCCCTGCTTGGGCGGGACCTCCGGGACGGGAAAGGCCGGGCACGAGGGTCAGCCGAAGGAGGGGCTGGCCCCCTCTTTCGGCTCTCCCCTCCCCCCCTTTTCGCTGGTCCTGACGCTTTTGAGACTGGGGGGTGACAAAAAAGGTTCTGCCAAAACACGGCAAGTCTCCAGGGAGGTAAAATACGGGGGATGCCCCTATTTCAGAGCGGCCGGTGGTGCAACTTGGGCTTTGAAGTTCCTTCTGGACCGATATTTATAAAGGGGGGGGTCTGCGAACCGAGGGCTGAATTCACAGCGATGGGTTTTCTTCCCCGGAGGAAATTGAATAAGGGTTTTCATGGCCCAGCTGGAAGCAGCCGTTCCTTTCTCCTTGAAACTTCCCTCCCTCCCTTCCTTCCTTCCTTCCTTCCTTCCTTCCTTCCTTCCTTCCTTCCTTCCTTCCTTCCTTCCTCCCTCCTATTATTTCCTTCCTTCTCTCCCTCTCTCTTTCTCTCTCTCCCCCTTCCCTTCCTCCTTTTTGTTATTTTCTTCCCTCCCTCCCCATTATTTCCTTCCTTCCCTCCTGTTATTTTCTTCCCTCCCTCCTTTTATTTCCTTCCCTCTCTTCCTCTCTCCCTCCCTGTCTTGTTATTTCCTCCCTCTCTCTCCCTCCCTCCTGTTATTTTCTTCCTTAACTCCCTTTCTCTTTCTCTCTCTCCCCCTTTCTTCCCGTCCTTTTTATTTTCTTCCCTCCCTCCCCCTTATTATTTCCTTCCTTCCCTCCTATTATTTCCTTCCCTCTTCCTCCCTCCCTCCCATTATTTCCTTCCTTCCTCCCCTCCTATTCTCCCTCCCTCCCTTCTTTCCTCCCTTCCCCTTAATTCTCTCTCCTATTCCCCCTCCCTCCCTTTCATTTAATCGGTCTACTTTTTCCAACTTCCCCACTAGCTATCCTCCCTCCCTCCCTCCCTCTGCTTCAGCCACTTCTTCTCTTATTCCACTTCCCCACCCTCCCACCCCGATCTTTGCAACAGGTCTCAGGCACGGCGGCTTCTACTGGGGCCCAAGAAGCTGAAGGTTCGGACCTACTTGACCGGTGGCCTCTAGGCCCATCGCTGCGACCCTGATGGGCCACCCTGCATCCCAGGAAATTAAACCCAGAGATGGGTCAGGAACTCGCTCTCTTTCTCTCGCTGCGTCTGGCCTACCCGGAGTTTTGACATCCCTGCGATGGAGACCTTGCTGGTTTGGCTGGGTTCCACCTCGTCTTTCTCTCTCTCTCTCTCTCTCTCTCTCTTTCCCTCCCCGACAGATTTTTGCAGGATTTCCCCCCCTCCAGTCTCCCAGTGAAAATGGACAAGTGTCCATTTGGGCGTTTGGAAGTTGTCAACCCATCGGCCAGTTGTTCACGCCATCTTTGCCGCTCTCAAACCTCACCTCGGTTCTCCTCCGGGACTCAAACCTCACCGAGGGGTCTCTCCGCCGTTCTTCGGAGCTTTCCTGGGTCCACTCCATCTTTGAAGGGTCCTCTGCCCCCCCCCTTCCCACCCTATTTCCAACCCCCGTCGTTGAGCACACCCACCTTGAATAAAGCTGGTTTGTCCCTCCCGCCTGAGTTCCACCAGACGAAGGTTGGGAAGAAAGAAATGTATTTTGTACGAGCTTGTACGATTCCCACAAAAAAAGAGGATTTTTACCCCTTCGGTGTCGGAGAAGACGGCTAAGGAAACAAAAACCCCACAGGTTATTTCCCCCCCCCCAAAAAAACCCCACATCCACCCAGAGTTCCTTGTTCTATCGCCAAAGTCCTGGCTGAGTTACATCCGATTCGGTGGGGAGACCGTGAGAAGACCTGGCTATCTCGGGAACACCAGGAGGCTGGGAAAAGCAGAAAAAAAGGAGAAGAGGAGCAGGTCAGGTGGCGATAGGGAGGAGAGCTGTCGGAGTTCCGCGTTTCGGGAGGTGCTCCCGAAGACAACCGACTTGAGGGCCCCGGGAGTCGGCACGGATTCCAGAGCCCATCATCCGTCCCACGCTCTTCCTTGCTACCGGGGTAGAATGTATAAACTCACCTGCACAACGGGTCTCGGGTTTTACCTGTAAGTTAAAAGGTCTCACAAAAGCTCTTTTGGGGTCCCCCTCCGTTTCCCCAATTCCTTGGCTTTTGCTTCGCGGAAGAGCTTGATCTGAAACTTTGCACAGATAATCTTGGCTGGGTCGACATCCAGAAAAAACTCTTCCTCTTCTTTTTTCTCTCCTTCTCTTCTCCTCCCCTTCTGTTTCTCTTCTCTCTTCCCCTCTCCTTTCTTCACCTTCCCTTCCCTTCTTTTTCTTCTCTTCTTTCTCTTCTCCCTTCTCTTTCTCTTCTCTCTCTTCCCCTCTCCTTTCTTCACCTTCTCTTCCCTTCTTTCTCTTCTTTTCCTTCCCTTCTTTCTCCTCTTCTCCTCCCTTCCCTTCTCTCTTCTTTCTCCTCTCTTCCCCTCTCCTTTCTTCACCTTCTCTTCCTCTTCTCTTTTCCCTTCCCTTCTTCTCCCTTCCCTCTTTCTCTTCTTTCTCCTCTCTTCCCCTCTCCTTTCTTCACCTTCTCTTCCCTTCTTTCGTTTCTCTTTTCCCTTCCCTTCTTTCTTCTCTCTGCCCCTCTTTCTTCACCTTCTCTTTTCCTTTCTCTTTCTTCTCTTCTCTCTCTTCTCTCCTTTCTCCTCTCTTCCCCTCTCCTTTCTTCACCTTCTCTTCCCTTCTTTCTCTTCTCCCTTCCCTTCTTTCTCTTATCCCTTCTCTTTCTTTTCTTTCTCCTCTCTTCCCCTCTCTCCTTTTTTCCCCTCCTTCTCTTCTCCTCCCTTCCCTTCTCTCTTCTTTCTCCTCTCTTCCCCTCTCCTTTCTTCACCTTCTCTTCCTCTTCTCTTTTCCCTTCCCTTCTTCTCCCTTCCCTCTTTCTCTTCTTTCTCCTCTCTTCCCCTCTCCTTTCTTCACCTTCTCTTCCCTTCTTTCGTTTCTCTTTTCCCTTCCCTTCTTTCTTCTCTCTGCCCCTCTTTCTTCACCTTCTCTTTTCCTTTCTCTTTCTTCTCTTCTCCCTTTCTCTTTCTCTTCTCTCCTTTCTCCTCTCTTCCCCTCTCCTTTCTTCACCTTCTCTTCCCTTCTTTCTCTTCTCCCTTCCCTTCTTTCTCTTATCCCTTCTCTTTCTTTTCTTTCTCCTCTCTCTCCTTTTCTCTCTTCCTCTTCTCTTCCCTTCCTTCTTCTCTCTCTTTCTCCTCCTCTCTTCCCCTCTCCTTTCTTCACCTTCTCTTCCCTTCTTTCGTTTCTCTTTTCTTCCCTCTTTCTCTCTCTCTCTTTCTTCTTCTCTTTCCTTTCTCTTTCTTCTCTCTCCCTTTCTCTTTCTCTTCTCTCCTTTCTCCTCTGGGGGAGGGGCCCCCATTTTTGTTCATTTGGCCTACACAAGAGAGGAGATGGGAACACAACCCAAGTCCTCCGCAACAGGGGCCAGTATCTGGCAGAATCCTGTAAAAGGTGTTTTTTGGGGGGGAGGGGGTCTGGTGGGTGGGTGGGGGAGGCGTGGATTTTTTCTGCCGTTGATCTGTCGAGATCTTTAAGTGTTTATTAGACTTCTTCAACGTTTTTTTAATCGGTTTTTCTAAGAGTGGGGAGGGGGGGGGGAAAGCGAAACGAAACTTTTATTGCAGACGTTTTTAAATGTTTCGTGCAAACAAAAAAACAGAAGCGTGTTGCCAGCCATAATGCTCTTCCCAGCTTCCCAGCAGTTAGCCAAGTCATTCGCTGTTAATATTTTTTTTTTTTTTTAATTATTTGGTTGGGTTTTTTTTCCGACGTTGCCATTCACTCAAGATTCTGCCCGATTCAGAAAAGCATTATTTAAATGAAAGCCCCTTAGTTCCCGGTTTGTTTGTTTGTTAAGAAAAAAAAACTATTTCCTGTAAGAGCTGCTAATTATTATTTTTTAAAAAAAAAGGTTGTATAATAACGCCTCCTTTTTAAACTTCATAGAGGGCATGCAAATCAAAACATATCACCCGTGTACAGTGTCAATAAACTGGAAGCAGCTCCCGGATGCTTTCTTTCTATTGGCTGTGTAACTTTGTATTTATTATGTATAAAATGTTGAATAATTAAAAAAAAAAGTGGCTTTAAATCATCAGGTATTGCATAATACGTGGTAAGCGTGATCATCTTTGCAAGCTTTCTTTCGCCAAAAGGACATCTGCATTGAATGTAATTTGTGTTTGTTTATTTATCCCTTTGTTTATTCCAGGGGTCTTCAAACTTGGCCCTTTTATGACCTGTGGACTTCAACTCCCACAATTCCTCAGCCAGCCAAACTTGACCACTCCCAGTTGAACTCCACAATCTAAAAGTGGTCAAGTTTGGCTGGCTGAGGAATTCTGGGAGTTTTAGTCCACAAATCTCAAAAGATGCCAAGTTTGGCTGGCTGAGGAATTCTGGGAGTTTTAGTCCACAAATCTTTAAAGTGGCCAAGTTTAGCTGGCTGAGGAATTCTGGGAGTTGAAGTCCACAAGTCTAAAAGTGGTCAAGTTTGGCTGGCTGAGGAATTTTGGGAGTTTTAGTCCACAAGTCTCAAAGATGCCAAGTTTGGCTGACTGAGGAATTCTGGGAGTTGAAGTCCACAAGTCCAAAAGTGGCCAAGTTTAGCTGGCTGAGGAATTCTGGGAGTTGAAGTCCACAAATCTTAAAGATGGCCAGTTTGGCTGGCTGAGGAATTCTGGGAGTTGAAGTCCACAAGTCTCAAAGTGGCCAAGATTGGAGACTTCTGATTTATTACATTTGCACAGCTATCTATCTTTAAGTGACTCTAGGAAGCACACAACAGTTACAACAACAATCTAGTTACAAAAACACACACCCACATTAAAAACCAACACATAGGGATATGAAACCTTGATATCCAGATGTTTTAATTTTAAAACAAAAATAACCATGGTCAGTGACCAAAGTTTATTCTTGGGTCAAACTCAAG